AGAAAATTAACAGGCATAGTTAAATCACTTTTTCTGTCCCTTAGTATTGGAAGACTCTCGGGCGACCGTGGGAACCTTGAGTAAGATTAGGAGCACTTGACAAGAGCTACAAATAAGATAAAGTGACTAGGAATATATCTAATAAAAGAAATGCAAAAGCCGGCCCGTGGCTCACTCGGTAGAGTGCGGTGCTGATAACACCAAGGCCACGGGTTCGGATCCCATATAGCGATGGCCGGTTCGCTCATTGGGTGAGCGTGGTGATGACAACACCAAACCAAGGGTTGAGATCCCCTTACCGGTCATCTTTAAAAAAAAAGAAAGAAAGAAATGCAAGATTGTATGTAGGAACCTATAAAAAGCTATGGAAAGAGGGAAACGAAGACTTGAATAAATGGAGAGCTACCTCATGGTCATGGATAGGAAGACGGCATTGTTAAGGTGGGTGGAATACTTGTTAAAAAAAAAAAAAAGAAGGAAGGAATCCTTGTTTTTAAGCATGGACGAATCTCAAAACCATCACGTTGAGTAAAAAAAAAAGAAAGAAAGAAAGAAAGCCACAAAAGGATATATACATAATACCGTTACTTAAAATTCAAAACCACATAAAATTTACTGATAAGGGCCGGCCCGTGGCTCACTCGGGAGAGTGCGGTGCTGATAACACCAAGGCCCCGGGTTCGGATCCCACATAGGGATGGTCGGTTTGCTCATTGGCTGAGCGTGGTGCTGACAACACCAAGTCAAGGGTTAAGATCCCCTTACCGGTCATCTTTAAAAAAAAAAATTTACTGATAAAGCACGTGGAAAAGAAAGAGCAAATTTAGAATAGTGATTACACAGCATACAGGATCTTTGACTGAAATGGTAATATTCTGTTTCTTAATATGTACACAGGTTTGTTTTATTTTTCTTTGTACCTTACACCTACATAATATATAAACTCTAGCTTTTCACTGGAGTAAACATATTGGGAAAAGTGCACCAATTGAATATATTTATGTAATCAGCACCTAGATCAAGAACAGATTGTTACAGCATCTAGAACACCCTCTCCATATTCCTACCAGTTGCTACCCATCCCCCGCAAGGGTAACCACTATCTGAATTTCTCACCCCATAGATTAGTTTTATCTATTTTTGTATTTTATATAAGTGTAATCATACAAGACACATTCTTCGTGTCTGGCTTCTTTTACTCTCATGTTTCTGAGATTCAACCTCATTGCAAGTCTCTGTGGTTTGTTCATTCTCATTGCTGTCCAGGGTCTCATTGTATGAATATGCCACAATTTATCCATTACACAGTTTCACATCATATATAGTCTTTGGTGTGTATAGAATATTTCATTGAAAATAATTTTAAAAATAAATAACACATTAGAAACTATTAGAACCCGGGCCGACCCGTGGCTCCTTCGGGAGAGTGCGGAGCTGATAACACCAAGGCCCCGGGTTCGGATCCCACATAGGGATGGCCGGTTCGCTCACTGGCTGAGCGTGGTGCTGACAACACCAAGTCAAGGGTTAAGATCCCCTTTCCGGTCATTTTTTAAAAAAAAAAAAAAGAAACTATTAGAACCCGGGCCGACCCGTGGCTCCTTCGGGAGAGTGCGGAGCTGATAACACCAAGGCCCCGGGTTCGGATCCCACATAGGGATGGCCGGTTCGCTCACTGGCTGAGCGTGGTGCTGACAACACCAAGTCAAGGGTTAAGATCCCCTTTCCGGTCATTTTTTAAAAAAAAAAAAAAGAAACTATTAGAACCCGGGCCGACCCGTGGCTCCTTCGGGAGAGTGCGGAGCTGATAACACCAAGGCCCCGGGTTCGGATCCCACATAGGGATGGCCGGTTCGCTCACTGGCTGAGCGTGGTGCTGACAACACCAAGTCAAGGGTTAAGATCCCCTTTCCGGTCATTTTTTAAAAAAAAAAAAAAAGAAACTATTAGAACTGTATGAAGATCTGCCTTAAGAGTCCTGCCTGAGCAGAAGGATGAATCATTGAACTCTCAGGGCCCTTGCTATTTTTCTCCTTGAGTAATAACTTAATACATTCATCAGGGGTTCAGGAGAGCTCTGTGGTATGCCAGGCAACCACAGAGAAAGTCATTTCAAATCACTTATGGAGCACCTTTCTGGATACACAGTTTTGTGATGTGTTCGGTGGAGACCAACATGAAGACTCAGCTTTTTCGTTCATTAGCTGATGTCTCTTAGGTGTAGAAGACAGACCATAACATGTACTTCCAGACTGAAAGGAAGTGGGCAGCTCGGACCCCATCTATGAAGGCTTCTTAGTGTGGAAGATCTTTGATTTAAGTCCCTCAGCTGATGTGGCATCAGAGGAGTGAGAAGATCATCTTCAGAGTGGCCTGGACTGGGTCCTTTTCCCCCCAGGACAGAAAGGTGGTGGTCATTTTTGCCCCAGTTGACAAGCAGCTGGACTTTATCGCCCCAGCATTCCCGTCCCCTCTAGAGGCCCTTGTCACTCAACACCAGGGAGTGTGGGCCTTTATCTGGGCTCTGTTTCCTCCCCGGGGCACCAGGTCTTAGAGCAAGAGAACTTGGCAGGCTCTCCCCATGGTACCCTTATTCATCCTCCTTCTGTTCCTATGTGGGCCCCGGCAGGCTGCTGCAGGTAAGGACCAGGAAGGAGGTGGGATTCTTCAGCTATTTGCAAGGTTGGGGAGGAACTGCTGCTCTTTCTCCTTAGGGGCCTGGGGAAGGCATCTGACTCAAGAAGGTAGATTTACCCCAACTGACCTCCCCCTGCCTCTAATACTAGGGAACACTGAGGCAATGAGGGTTCAAGTCATGTACAGTTTCCTTTAGAAAATAAGAACAGACCAGTAAATGCTTCCAGAAAAGGATAAATGAGAGGAAGATACGTGGGCATTTTCCAACTATTCTAGCCTTTTCCCTCTGCCTCTCAGATCCCCTCACTGGCCTAAGGAGAGAAAAAGGAAGCCCTTACCCTCTCCTCTCCACCTCTCTTCTTTTTTGTAGCTGTCACTTGAGAAATGTGCTCACCAGCCAGCCAGTGGTGGGAGACCCCAGAAGGGGAGGAAGTCAGGGGTTGGAGGTCAAGTGGGAGGTTGTTGATCTGATGCAGGTCTCTGGCCTCATACAACACTCTCCCCACAGACAACATCCAGGCCATCTATGTGGCCTTGGGGGAGGCGATGGAGCTACCATGTCCCTCACCACCCACCCTATATGGAGACGAACTCCTGTCTTGGTTCCGCAACCCTGCAGCAGGCTCCCCCACCACCCTGGTGACCCAAATCCAAGTGGCTAGGCCAGCCTCGGACACTGGGAAACCCGAAAAGGAATCCAGGCTCAAACTGCTGGGGAACTATTCTTTGTGGCTGGAGGGGTCCAAGGAGGGAGATGCCGGGCGGTATTGGTGCGCCGTGCTGGGTCAGCACCACAAGTACCAGAACTGGAAGGTGTACGACGTCTTTGTGCTCAGAGGTAAGCAGGAGCATGCAGACCAAGGGCCACTGGGAACCAAGAAGCCCAGGCAAAAAACTGAGGGGTCCCTCTTTCCCCACAGGATCCCAGTTATCTGCAAGGGCTGCAGATGGATCCCCTTGCTCCATTCTCCTGTGCTCTGTGGTTCCTAACAGACGCCTGGACTCTGTGACCTGGCTGGAGGGGAATGGTCCCATAAGGGGCCGTGTTCAGTCCTTCTGGGGTGATGGGGGTGCTCTGCTCTTAGTGTGTCCTGGGGAGGGGCTTCCTGAGCCCCGGAGCCGTAGACCACGAATCATCCGCTGCCTCTTGCCTCAGAACAAAGGGGTCAGCTTTAGCCTGGCAGGTAAACTGAGGGAGGAGATAGGAAGGGATGTTGCTTCTGGCGCATCCCTCACCTGCTGGCTAAGGGAGGAGGTGAGATAGGAAGCGAGTCTGGCTAGGTTGGGGGTAACCTCTGGTGGAGCAGACCACTGCCTATAGGAGGAGGACTTTTTCTCGTGAACGAATCCATAACAGAGGAAGAAGGATTGGTTAAGCCAGTTTTCTGGTGGAATAGACCAGCAGCCCAGAGGTGTATTCTGGTGGAATATACCATTGTTTAGAAATAGGGTAAGCTATAAAATAAGAAAATAAATAAATTTAAAAAAGAAAGAAATAGGGTAACCTATGATTTCTGTGGAATATCCCATAGCAGAGGTAAAGAAAATAAGAATTATTGCTGGAAGACTTGTCTTTTTTTTTTTTTTGGTGGCTGGCTGGTATGGGGATCCAAATCCTCGATGGCGCTCTAACCAACTGAGTTAACTGGCCAGTCCTGGAGTTGTCTTTTGAAGAAAGAATATATGCACTGGTGTTATAATAGCACATTGATAGTGAAGGCAGAAGGAGAAAAAATATATAATTATTTTACAATAAAAAGACCATTATAGTTAGGTGTAGTGGCATGCCTGTAGTCCCAGCTACTGAGGAGGCTGAGGCTGGGGGGGTCACTTGAGCCCAGGAGTTCTGGGCTGTAGTGCACTGTACCAATCAATCGGGTGTCTGCACTACGTTCATCATCGATACGTTGACCTTCCTAAGGAGAGGTGAGCCCCAGGTCAGAAACAGAGCAGGTTTTAACTCCCATGGTGATCAGTGTAGTACTGCACCTGTGAATAGCTACTGCACTCCAGCCTACACAACACAGGAAAACCCCATATCTAATAAAAAGTAAAATAAAATAAACATTAAAAGCCCATTATGGGGGCTGGCCCGTGGCTCACTCGGGAGAGTGCGGTGCTGATAACACCAAGGCCCCGGGTTCGGATCCCACATAGGGATGGCCGGTTCGCTCACTGGCTGAGCGTGGTGCTGACAACACCAAGTCAAGGGTTAAGATCCCCTTACCGGTCATCTTTAAAAAAAAAAAAAAAAGCCCATTATGCAGAGAATGAATGCTACCGGATGTAGAATAACCCATTTGCAAGGCAGGAGGGAGGAGCAAATGGGCGTTATTTCAGTAAGCAAAGGCCATCCATGGGCAGTGACTGGGCCTTGTATCCCTTTTCATCCTCACCACCTGACAGTGCCTGGCATGTGGTGAGCACTCAGCAAATGCTCAGAGAATGAATGAATGGAAGAATGAATAAACGGGAGGCACTTTTATCTTTTCTTGAAAGGATGAATTACCATGAAGGGTATGAGGGGAAATGAACAGTTACGGCTGGTGGTCTGCTCTGGAGTTAGCTGCCCATGGGGGTGGGGGGCATTTTCATTCTCTGTCAATGTTAGCTCATGAGGTCAGGGTGAGAGTCCTGGAAAGAGCCAAAGTGGGGTGGTGGATATTGGGGGCAGGGAAGCTTGCGAAGCCTTTTGTTGGAAGAGCCCACCAGACTGTGGCAGGGAAGTCTCTCTTCGGGAGAGACAGGCCGTCTCACTGCCTCCCTCCCTATCCCTCTGGTTTTGCCCTTATTACAGCCTCCATGGATGCCTCTTCTGCCCTCTGCACCCCTTCCACAGGCTGGGATGTGCCCTGGATCCTGATGTTCTTGCTCACGGTGGGCCAGGGATTCACCATCCTGGCCCTCAGCATCATGCTCTGGAGGCAGAGGTTCCAGGGGGCTCAGGGCAGAGGTGAGTTCCTCCCTCCCAGAGGGAAGAAGAGGGCATGCGGGTATGAAGCAAAGGGTTGGGCTCACATCTTGCCTCTGTACCCTATCTTCTCTTGGGGTGGTGGTGGTGAGAAACACAACTCTGAATTATCTGGTGACTTCTCTTCTGTACCCCACCTGGCTTCTTCTCCCCAGATGCCTCGATTCCTCCATTCAAACCCGAAATCCAGGTCTACGAGAACATCCATTTGGCCCATCTTGGGTGAGGAAGGGGTCTGGGGATGGGAGAGGAAACACTGGGATTGGGTTGGGGGTGGCGCCCTGGTTCCTGAGGAGATAGAGAATAGAGGTATCCTTAATTCATCTCTCTGCTTTGCAAACCCCACAGCCCACCTGCCCACAAGACCAGGTGATCTCGGGGACATCTCCTGCTGAGAAGTGTGACCTGCCATCTCCCTGGCCAGCTGGCACCTAAAGGATTCCCTAAAAACCTTGGCAATGGGGAGGGGCTGAGAGAGTGATTTCACAGTCCAACTGGCCTCCAGCAGCCACTAAGCTGTGTGTGGGGTGGGGGCAGGGGACTGAAGGAAAGGAGGAGCATTATTCTGTGATGTCACCTACAAAAAGGTGTGGTCTCCTGTCTTGTAGCAGCAAGTGGAGGGGTGGCCCTGAGTCCATAGTATTGTGGGATTGAGGGGAGCCTGGGGTAACTGGTGGCAGTGAGGGGGGGAGGGCAGGGAGCAGACAGAGGTATCTAGAGACTTGAGCAATGGTGGGAAATCAGTCATAGGGGAACCTAAGGATGAATGAGGAAAACTGAGGCAGAGAGCAGGGAAGAGACTCAAGCCAAAGTAAGAGAAAAGAGATGGACAGAGAGATAGAGAAAAATAGAAGCACAGAGTGGAAGGATTGAGGGACAGAGAAAAAGGAAAAAAGACTCAACTTCCATCCAAATTAAGCCAGGACACCACTACTCCCATTCCATCCCCCGCCACGTCTCATCCTCACAAAGAAGTTGAGAGGGAACAAGCACCTTTAATCAGCTCCCAGATTTCCTCAGATGGAAGGGGAGGAAACTCAGTGAGGGTGGGGATGCCTTGCTTGGCCCCCACCCCGGACACCCTCCTTATCCTAGGCACACACACTTCCCTGTGGCACTCCATTGTGGCATCCAGAGCACGTGGGCAACTTATCACCACTCTGACACCCTGGGAGCACCACCTCCCTGTTGCCCCAGGGATCATACCCTATCTCTCTGGGCAGTGGGAGTGTCCACAAGGGCGGGCAAGCGGGATTCTCTGGTGGGGCATGTTATTGGACCAGGCCCATGCATGGCTGCCTGTGAAATGCGGGCAAGTCTAGGCAGGTGAAGTGGAGGAGGGCATTGATGCTCCCAACTTGGCCATCCCCCAGTCTCGGGCAGAAATGAGCTGGACTCCCAGCCTCACCTTCACAAGCAACTCCACAGTGTGTCCTTTTGTGTCTCTCTGCTCAAGCTTTCGCCTCACTAGAGAAAAACTTTTTCAGAAGTCTCACCTATAGTCTTCATGCTGCAGTGGCTTAAGCTAAGCTATAGGAGGGAAGGAGTACACAAATGACACAGACCGAGAAAGAGGGGAACACTATGGTTCAGGTTCCAGCACCCCAGCCCGACCCACCAAGCAGCTATAGTTCCTTGTTAGAGAGAGATCGTGCATGTGCGCGCACACACACACACTGCCACATTACCAGACTCCCGGATAGCCCTTTTATTAAGTGTATTCTTCATAGTTCCCCAAGCCCTCCTTCCTGAGTTCCCGACCTACCAAATGAGTCTTTCTTAGCAAGACTTTCCTCCTGTGCATACCTCGTGCCCCTTCCATCCCCTTGCCCCTAGAACCCACAGCTCCATCAAAATGCCTGCCTTGCCAAGGACCTGGGGCTGAGAGAGAGCATCAGTAACAGGTATCTAGAAAAGCCAAAAGACATAGAGCAGCGTTCTTTATGAGGCTGGGCTTTGGGCAGGTGCCTGTAGGGGTGGAGCAGTACCTGTAGGAAACAGGTCTTGGGAGGGGTCTGTGAAGGTGCTGGGCCCAGGGATCTGAGGTCTCTGTACAAAACTAAGTGCTTGGGCATGTCTCAAAAGTGTCTGCAGGTGTTTCCAGGGCCATGGTGATGGCGGAAGAGTGCTGGGTTGGGGGCTGCAGATCCATGTGAGGCTAGTGGAGGAAGTGGCCTCCCCACACGAAGATGGCTGCAAGGAGGAGCAGGGTGGTGAGGAGGAGGCTGGGGAGCCACTGTGGAGTGGTGGCCACGTTGCACAGGTCCTGCTCACAGCAGTGGTGCCGCAGAACATAGGAGCGTAACCAGTAGGTGGCATGGCCCTGCAGAGGGCACTGGGCCCTGGGGAGGCAGCCTTTCCGCTGGATGATCTCATTCTGGTCTGTGGGACAAGGGAGGAATGGTGAGGCAGGGGCAGCAGGACAGGCAGGATGGATAGAGACAGGGAGCGATCTGGGGAAGGGCCATTTGACCTAGTTCTACCTGAGGTGCCGATACTGATGCCACAAGCTTCATCATCCTGACACTCAGTGGGAACCGGGTAGCAGGGTTTGGCGAAGCTGCAGGTGTAACAGCGGAGCCGTCCCCGGGCAGGGGAAGTGGTGAGACCTGGGTTCAGAAGAGATCAAGGCGACGGGGAGAGGCAGAGCCCAGATCCAGGGAGGGGTACATAGATAGAGGGACCACACAAAGTGGAGAGAGGAAAGCCATGAAACGAGGGGAGAAGGGCAGACAGAAGTAGAAAAAGACACGGGGAATGGAGCAGGGGAGAGAATGTAGGAAAAGAAACCGAGGCAGAAACAAGAGGGATACAGGGATTGAGGGAGACACACAGACATGAACAGAAGCCACAAGAACCAGAGATGAACATAAAATGTGACACAAAAAGCCAGACCCAGCGGGCAGTGAAAAAGTTAAGTAGATAGCACCAGAGAAAGATATGAAAATAGGAATTGACATTGACCAAGGGGCCCAGCACAGAAGCAAGAGGCAAGATAAGGGACAGGGAGACAGAAGCAGGTGAAAGATGCAGCGAGGAAAAGACAGTCATTCGCACGGAATTTGGGAGGAAACTTTTCCTCTTCTGCTCTATCAGGCTGACCTGAGGCCATTCCCATTGGTCAGCCTCCCAAAAGCCCCCCAGCTGTTTTCTTGGCCTCTTCCAGCCACCTCTCCCCTCCAGCCCTCAGGCTCCTCCACAAGCCCCTGCCCCGTGGGGATTCCCCAGCCCACCCTTACCCAGTGTCCCACAGAGGAACAGGAAGCAGAGGAAGATGCTGGAGGTGCCCATCGCTGGACCTGGGCTCAGGAGTCTGGGAGAATGTGACCTGCACTCCAAGATTCCGAGAGTTGGAGAGTTGGAGCATCTGAGCAAGACAGGGAGGGACCAGTAAACAAACACACCTAGGGAGAGAATCTGGGGGGTGGAACCGTGACCACATTCACCAGCCTGACACAGCTGGGGCCCCAGCCCCTGCTTCTGTGCCCCACATTTCTCACACCTTCCCTGCCCCTTGTGTCGCCTCCAGGGTCTGCTCTGTTCTCTCAGTGTGTTTGTCTCTGTAACTTGGCCATCTGCCACTCCTGAGTTGTGTCTGTCGCCTTCCCTCCCTCCGCTTGTCTCAAGCTGTTCTCTGCTCTCTTGACTCCTCTCCCAGTCTTTGTTTTCTCTTTCCCCCTTAGTGTGTTTATGTCTCTCAAGGTCACCCTCTTAAACATCCTTGGCCTATATCTGTCGGAGTGTGGAATCAACAATACCCACACCCACACCCACACCCACACCCACACATACACACACACACAAAGCCAGCTGTGTAAGGGCGGACCCCAGCCAGCTTCAGATCCCTTTGATCACCCCAAGCCTCCACATGTCTATCCCGTAATTATCCCTCCCAGCTTCACTACCTTGGAGGAAAGAATCAGGGGTGAGGCTGAAGAGATGGATGTGCTCCACTGGGAGAAGAAATCAGAATCAGAAAGACTAGGAAGGAAGATGTAGAGAGGATTTGGGGTGGGGGGAGGGTGGCAGAGTCTAGAAGACTGGGGCTTAAGAGACTGGGGAGCAGGAGAGCCACATCTGGGGAATGAGGACACAATGTTCCAGGAGGAGTAAGACTAGGAAAGGAGGTGGTGGGACAGGAGAGATGCAGGAATCCATTGAGCAACGGTTTTCAAAAACTGACCTCAAGGTCTCTTTACACTTCTAAAAATTACTGAAGACCCCAAAGAATTTTTCTTTGTGTGGGTTATATCAATATTTACCATATTAGAAATTAAAACAGAACATTTTAAGTAGGTATTTATTGATTCTTTTAAAAAATAAAAATAATAAACCTATCACGTTTACAAAACATAGTTTTGTGAAAAATAACTATTATTTCCCAACAGCACAGTGAGAAGAGTGGCATTACTTTACATTTTTGCCAATCTATTTAATGTCAGGCTTAATAGAAGATGACTGGGTTTTCATATCTGCTTCTGCATGCAGTTTGTTGAGATACGTAGTTCTGGGTGAAGTATATGAAGAAAATCTGACCTCACACAGGTGTAGTTGGAAAAGAAAGACCTCTGAGAACCCTCTGAAAGGGTCTTAGGGACCCCCAGGAGTTCTCAGGCCACAGTTTTAGAACCACTGCTGAGGATGCAGGAGTTTGGGGCTCCCGAGGATGCTGACAGCATCCTGTGGGGCCCCTCCCTGTCCCTATTGGGGCCCCCAGTGCCAGCGGGGGAAGACTCTTTCTTCCTTTTTTATAGCCCTATAAAGCTCAAGGCAAGGGGGATATAAGGCTGGCAGAGCAGGGCTGGGGAGAGGGGTGGGCAGGAGGGAGAGGCACCACTGACACAGGCAGCCACAATGAACTCCCGATTTGTCGGGATCCTGCTCGCCACCCTGCTGGGGGCTGCCCTGGGTAAGGAGGCGACCAACGTACCTCTCACTTAGGCCTGTCCATGCCCTCTGCCAGCCGGCTCCCCTGAGGGCCAGGTCCAGCGCCTCTTGTCTCCTGCCAGGAAACCGCATGCGGTGCTATGACTGCGGGGGATGCCCCAGCAGCTCCTGCAAAGAGACTGTGACCATTTGTGGAGAGGGTGAACACTGTGGCTTCGTAGAGCACAGACCCCAACCAGGCCCAGGACAGATCAAGATACCTGGGAACCGTGAGTCCTCAGTTTCTGCCTCATCCCTCAACCCTTCCCTGTGTCCCAGTCCTTCTGGCTTCCAGAAACTTCCAGGCTCAATCTGGCTCTGGGCAGATGGTGCCGCTGTCGTTTACACTTTCTGGCTCCTGGCACTGAACCCCTCAGAAGCCCCAGTCCTTGTGCTCCTACCTCCCTCCTCTTTCTGAGATTCCAGAAAAAATCTCATAGGCCCATTCACTCAAGGCTGGGGCCCAAATGCTAAATTGAACTTCAATATTCAGGCATCAGCTAAGGACCAGGGAGGTATATGTACACATGTATGTTTTAATTTTTTATTTGGAAATAATTTCAGATTGACAGAAAAGTTGCAAAATAGCAGAGTTCCTGTATATCTTTCACTCAGCTTCTCCTAATGGTAACATCTTCCATAACCATAGTACAATTATCAAATCAGAAAATAACATTGGAGGCTGGCCCGTGGCTCACTCGGGAGAGTGCGGTGCTGATGGTGCCTTTAGCTTAACTCCATGAGACTAACAGGCATCTTCTCCTTTTAGCAATGGGCTGTAAGCACATAGAAAGCTCCTTTTGGGCCAGCCCGTGGCTCACTCGGGAGAGTGTGGTGCTGATAATACCAAGGCCCCGGGTTCGGATCCCATATAGGGATGGCCGGTTTGCTCACTAGCTGAGCGTGGTGCTGACAACACCAAGCCAAGTGTTACGATCCCCTTACCGGTCATCTTTAAAAAAAAAAAGAAAATAACATTGGTACAGTGCTACTAACTAATCTACAGACTTTACTTGATTTAGCCAGTGACATTTCACTCATGTCTTTTTTCTGATCCAGGACCCAAACCAGGATCCCACATTGCATTTATTTCTTATGTCCTCTTTTTCTTTTTTTTTTCTTTTTTTTTTTTTTAAAAGATGACCGGTAAGGGGATCTTAACCCTTGACTTGGTGTTGTCAGGACCACGCTCAGCCAGCGAGCCAACTGGCCATCCCTATATGGGATCCGAACCCGGGGCCTTGGTATTATCAGCACCACACTCTCCCGAGTGAGTCACGGGCCGGCCCCAGAACCCACACTCTTAACCACTATACTATGCTACCTCTTTAATGTGTTAACTTTGGCCACTTGGTTTTAGGGAGGTGTTTTTTGAAGGGGCAGAGAACGCCTTTGGGCTCCTTGAAAACACCCCAGTCTCATCCTCTCTCTCAGCCTCAGTGACCTTGATTCATCACCATCCAGCCTGTGTGGCAGCCCATCATTGTAATCAAGTGGAAAGAGAGTCAGTGGGAGACGTGACTTACACAACCCACAGGGATTGCTGCCTCAGAGACCTGTGCAACGGCGCGGTGGCGAGCACGGTGGTCCCCGTGTGCATCTTGGCTGCAGCAGCCACTGCCCTGGCCTGGCTCTTTCCAGGACTGTGGGGAGGGTAGTGGGAGTAGGGGAAGGGGAGGGAGTGAGGGAGCAAGGGAAGGGGGAATGTGAACATCTGAGGTGAGAAGGCAAGCACTCCTCTGTGAGCCATTAAAATCTACTGACCACTCTAGAGCTGACTGGAAAATTCCATCTATCTTTTGTTGATGGGAGGCTGAAGGGGTAACATGGGGACATCCAGGTTCTAGTCTGGGACTTAGTTACAGTCGTGCACTCCTTAACCAACTAAACCCAAAGGACAATTGAGAATCGGTTCTCAGTGACTTCTGGATCCTGAAGACAGAGAGAATCTTATTTAGCAATGAGAATCACTGAGGGGAGCAGGCTCTGGGCTAGGTGGGGGTCACCAGGATTCCATGAGCCTGGCTGTCTGGGATTGTTCCCCTTTCCCCCAGCTGCAGCTTGGCTCCCTAGAGGATTATTTTAAATTGAGAAAGGAAATGTAAACACTGTGATAGGAGAGTTGCAAGGTGCCCTCTTTAGTAACCAGGCCAGGTGAGGCCTCTGATTCTAACCTGAGGAAAAAAGGTATGGGCTCCATGCCCGTGCACATCTCCTACCCGTCCTGGGGAGCTCTCAAGCCAGACTGCACCTCCTTCTTGGCAATACATCAGGGGTGTGGCCTAAATTTAGGATAAGGGTTGTTTCTCCAAACACTGGGACCTGTGTGCCACCCCCAGACACTGGAAGGGAGGATGGAGGCTTGAAAAACCTGTTCCAACCCAGCCTCCCATGGAAACTCCCTGAAGGATTCCTGGGTAAGGGTTATTTCCTGGGAGGGGGCCCAACATTTAGGTCATCTGACTATAAATGCAAAATTTATTAGACACAGATGTTTATTACTCAAAATGGAAAGAGGTTGAGTATGGAGACGGGGTGCGTAGGGGAGCCAGGGTTTGGGGAATCAGCCCAATGCAGTGAGGCCATCAGGTCCTTCCTGGGAGCCTTCATTGGGAACAGGACAGAAGCCCCATTTCAGGCCCAGATCCCAATCCCTCCCTAAGTAGGGCACAGTAGAGTGCAGGAGGCAAAGTGGGGAGTCCTTCTAGGGGCCAGTGGAGGATCTGGAATGGTCTGGAGGGAAATGGAAGGGACTTGGGGAAAAACACAGTGGAGGGTGTGGGGTGGGAGGGATGGATAGGGAGACCACTCCAGAGTCTAATTAAAGAAATGTGAAGGGACTGGGGAAATGTAAAGGGAGCTAGGGAGAGGCCATACTGGAAAGCCAGGGGATACGGAGACTCAGGGAGAGAGGCTCAGGCTAAGGCAGGTGGGTGGAGGGGCAGCCATGGAGTGAGTCTCAGTGCAGCAACCAGAGGCCAAGGCCAGCCAAGGAGGTGAGGAAGACCAGGGCCAGGGCCGGAGCCGGCCGGGGGGCTGGGCTGTTGCAGCTGTCCTTGTTGCAGCAGGTGGTGTTATAGGTCAGGCCCAGCTTGTGGTTGGTTTGGTTGAAGGCCTCCCGACAGGGCTCTTCCGGTGTACCACAGCGCAGGTTAGAGAAAACCCACATCTTACCTAGGGGTAGGAGTGGGCAAGGGAGTTAGCTAGGATGGGCATCTGACATGCCTGTGCCCACCTCCCCACCCCACGCACCAGCCAGGCTTCCTGCCTTCCCAGCTCTGCCCCAGCCCTTCCCTTCTTTGTCTCTTCTCAGTCCAGTCTTCCTCTTGCACTTCCTTACCCTGCTGCTCCCACCCCGCCAAATACTGGTACTATCACTTGCTGGCCTTTAGGACTTGGGCCTGTTACTGTCTTTTTGAGGCTGTTTCCTCAGTATTAACAATAGCACCTACACTATAGAGTTGTCATGAACATTAATAGAAACAACGCATGTAATGACATAAGATAGTACCTGGCACATAATCATCTTTGACCAAATAGTAACATTGCTGTAATTCTCTGTTCCAGCCATAGACTCTCCCACCCATCCCCTTTCCCCATTAAAAGTGGGGGTGTTACCGAGGTACACATTTGTTGTCAGGCACTGGTGTCCTGGTTCCAAGAGGCAGGACTGCCGGTCTACACAGCCCAGCACAGGGACCTTGTAGCAGGAGTGGCAGCGAATGTCAGCTGAGGAGACACAAGTCAGGCTGAGGTGATGGGGTGTCTGACTTGCCTATGGATAAGCTGAGCTGGGGGTGGGGGGTGTAGGGTGGAAAAGAGACAGCCATGTAGGTGCTCTGACCAGTTTGTTTCAGTGGGGACAGAGCAGGTGAGTGATGCAGAGAAAGTGGAAAGTGGGCAGCAGGCCCACACCCAAAATATTTTCCTTCACTCCGCCCCATTTGGGCATGAGTCAAGGGGCAGAGCTACAAACACGGGACTGGGAGTAGATGGAATGTGAGGAGACCATGGAGAAGGAATGGGTACATGCTGGGGAGAAGATGAAGACTTGAAATAGGGAGAAATAGTAAAAATAAAAGCCATGGGGACTCCAGCACTGTCAGAAGTGGCTTGGAACTCGAGGCTGGCAAGAAAAGCACCTGCGGTCAGCTTCAGCAGTTTACTCTCCACCTCCTGGGGCTGGCAAGAGCACGGGAAGAGGGGCCAGAACTGAATGGAATCCTCTTGCCCCAGGAGATCTCTGGCAGGAAGGAAAAATATCTCGGAGATGGATCATCAGATTCCATCTTAGCACCAAAATAGAGAGGGTAGGTGCAGAAGGTGGCAACCCCAAAGTTCCTGCTTCAGCTAATTCAAGGTTTGGGCATGCAAGGTGTGGTGAAGGAGGAGTCAGTCTAGGGGTGGAGGAGCCTGGTAAGTATACCTCAGTGAAACCCACCTCACCCGGGGTGAATGGCCCTGGCATCCCCACCCTAAAACGCTCAGGAAAACTCTCTTGTTCCCCAGGAGGCTCTAAGAGGTCATTGGAACCATCCAGAAAGCCTGCATCCCTGGTAAGGGAGAGGGTTTGCAACTCAGGGAGGAGCAGGGGGGAACTAGGAAAGGCCAGGGCTGAGCACCTAAGTCCCTGATGGAGTAGAGGGGGAAGGTGGGGTATAGAAAGAGCCTGGGGCCGGATGCCTAGGCTCTCAGAGGACACTCTGCTGAGCGCAGGAGGTGAGAGGAGAAGGTGGGTAAGCTGGATCCTGGAGGATTGCATCCTGGAGTGGGACGGGCTGTGGTACTAGATATCAGTTTCCAAGAACGGGGCAACTTGGAGTGGGGAACAGGAAACCTGGAGCCCTGGCAGGTGAGAAGAGTGGGTCTTTCTTGGAGGTGGGGAGGAGTGTGATGAATGGAGACCTGGGTCCTTGAGAAATGGAGCAAGGAGCCTGTCACAAGGAGGCCTGGTTTTGGAGGCACAGGAGAGCTGAGCCAGTTGGGGCTTAGGGTGCTTGGGATCCAGAGGAGTGGGTAGTGCAGGGCAGCGGGTAAGGCAAGGTATAAACCAGGTGGGATGAATCAGGTCCCTGGGGCCCCCAGGTGCTCACCTGAGACCCAGCAGAGCAGAGCAGACAGGGTGAGCAACAGAAGGCCTTTCATGGTGAGGGTCCTGAGAATGGTAGCAGCTGCAGCAGCTGACAGAGTAGATTTTCTGGGATCCAGCTCTGAGAGTTGAGCAGCCTTTTTGGAATTTATAATCCCAGAGGCCCCTCCCTTTTCTGCCTCTGGTGGCACCTCCCTCTCCATTTAAACACAGCTGACCAGAGGAAAAGACAAGGGGTGGGGAGCCCTGAGCAGGCCTGGGTTGGGAGTGGGGATGGGCGAGAGGGATGGCAGAGGGTGGTAGGTACCACTAGTGGTCAACTCCATTTTGGTTTGGATTTTAGGCCAAAATTCCCTTCCTGACCCCTAGCTGAGAGTCCTGACTGCCCAGTCCTATTAAGGAGCATCACCAAAGGCCTCTGTGATTTACAATGGCCATGGTGGTAGCTTCTGCTGGTTCCTGGGAAATGGACAATGGGAAGTGGCCCAAGTTGATTGCCAAATTTGGTCCCGGATAGCCATTGGTAGGGGCATGCAGGCAGAAACTGAAGATGGAAGGAGTCAAATTAATTCAGTCCCCACTCTGTGTGCCGGCCCCTGCTCAGCCACAGGATGAAGGGTTTGTGACATCTGGGAGGGCTTCTGTGATGTCATAGCAGCAGAGGAAGGGGCTAGGGCTGCAAGTCCGGGACAGCCACAGCCTGTCTGCTAAGGAGGAGCTGCCTCAGGCCCACTGAAGGTTCCCGGGACCTCACCCTGGCCCCACGTGGGTGTGGCGTGGCCTTGGTTACTCCAGTCCAGTGAGAGCCACTGGAGTCCTAAGTCTTGGGTGTGTGCATTTGTTCCAAAGCACCTCCTCAGTCAAAATCGGCAGAAACTTGGGCAGGGCACCATGAGCGGGGAGGCACAGCGTGGGCACCAAGAAGTGGGGTAGAAGCTAAAATAAGAACAGAAATAGTGGGGGAAAAAAGAATAGAAATAGTAATAGTTTGGTCGGAGTGCAGTCATGTTTACAACTAATTAATCACAATCAGTTACAGATTTCTTTGTTCTTTCTCTACTCCCACTGCTTCACTTTACCAGCCTTAAGGGGGAAAAATAGTAATAATAATGGCAAACACACAGTACTCCTGTGTGTCAGACATTGTTTTAGGCCTTTTAGGTGTATTACTTTTAGTTTCATGTATATTACTTTATTTACGTTTTACCTGTATTACTTTATTCTCACAATACATTACGAGATAGGTGCTTTTATCCCCATTTTACAGGTGAGCAAACAGGCCCAGAGAGGTTAAGCGACTTGTCCACATCACGCAGCCAGTAGCTGGCGAAGTCGGAACTTAAACAGCCGAGCTCCAGAATTTGTGGTGCTCCCAGCCATTTCTACGCTGGAGGAGTTAAGCTGGCGAAAGCGCTTGTGTGAACAGCCCGGGCACAACTTTTAAGTGAGCGTTTTTAAGTGAGCACTGTTTGAGGGCAGTGAGTTTGCCTGGGAGGATTCCCGAAGGGATCTGGGCAGCTGGTGGCCCCGCCCCCGCTCTTATCCGAGCCCCCAGCCCGACCGTCCCCCGCCCCCAGCTTCCCTCCGGTCTCCCCCGCTGATTCACTCGCCACCTCTCCCCACCACATCCCAGCCATGGCCCTGGCTCTGCAGCTGCTGCCTCTGCTGCTCTCCAGGGCCCAGGGGGACCCGGGGGGTAAGCGATCCATGGGAAACTTGTGGATGGGCGAGGAAAGAATGAGGCAGGGGAAGGGGGCGCCTGGGGGTGGAGTGTGTGGGAAGATCCAGAATGGCTGGGCAGAATAGAGGAAAGAAAGAAGACGGGGGTGGGGGTTCGTCTTGTCCTGTGCTCTTGCCCTAACCACCTCCCGCGCCTTTCCCTAGCTTCTCTGGAAGGCCGCCCTGGGGACCGGGTGAATCTCTCCTGCGTAGGGGTCTCGCACCCCATCCGCTGGGCCTGGGCGCCTAGCTTCCCGGCCTGCAAGGGCCTGTCCAAAGGACGCCGCCCGATACTGTGGGCCTCGCCGAGCGGGACCCCCACCGTGCCACCCCTCCAGCCCTTCGCAGGCCGCCTACGCTCCCTGGACCCTGGTATCAAGCGGCTGGAGCTGCTCTTGAGTGCGGGGGACTCGGGCACCTTTTTCTGCAGGGGCCGCCACGAGGACGAGAGCCGTACAGTGCTTCACGTGCTGGGGGACAAGGCCGATTGCAGGACCCCGGGGTCTACCCACGGTAGGTCGAGGACTGAGCGCACGGGGGGGACTTTAACTCAGATACACAAATAGGGGAGGAAGGGGGGACTTGGCTGGGGCTTCCTGAGCGGAAGAGCTAGCTCTCTGTCGTCGTACCCTTGACCTCGGCATCCCTCCCCGCCACGCCGTTCCCACAGGGTCGGTGTATCCCCAGCTCCTGATCCCGCTGCTAGGCGTTGTGCTGGTGCTAGGACTCGGAGCGTTGGGCGTGGTCTGGTGGCTGCGCAGGTGAGCACGAGGGGTGGAGCCTGGTTTAACAGGGTGTGACCAGAGGCGAGAGGGGCAAGAAACAGGACCCGGAACTTCGCTAACGAAAGAGCTAGATCTGGAGCCCAGGCATGGTTTGGAGAAGGATGGAAGAGTCAGAATTTGGGAACGAGGCCACAGGCTGGTGAGTGAAGCCCTGGCTAGAGGAGCGAAGCTAGAAGTGCAGCAGGATCAGACCATGGGCAGGACTGTCTGTGGGGGAGGAGCCTAAGTTGTTTGGCGGGTCTGAGCCTGAAGTTGCTGGGATGTCTTTGCCGCGGATGAGGAGAACCAGCGAGACAGGACTGTTGACTCTCAAAGGCTCTTTTACAACCCCTACAGGCGCTCGCCCCCGCCCCCGCTTCGACCACTCCCCAGATTTGGTGAGACTAACTCCACCCCATTTTCCTTCTCCTACCCGCACATTCCCTACCCCTCGGTTCCCAAGTCTGAGCCTTGCTAGGAGCAGACAAGTTGGTTACCTTCTCTCCATCCTTCAGCTCTGTCCCCCCCACATAGCTCCACTTGTGAAAGCCGAGCCCCAGAGGTCAGTAGAGGAGGAGCACAAGATTCCGGGGAACGTGGACCAGGAGCCGGTAAGGGCATGGGGATGGGAAGGGGGCTGGCCTGAATACCTGAGGAGATTGGACCCAGAAAGAAGCCTAAATGCCAAGGGAGTCAGATTGCTGAGACCATCCTTCCTTCCTCCCTGTACCCCTCCTTCAGAACCTGCTCTATGCGGATCTAGACCATATGGCCCTCAGAAGGCCCTGCCGGCTGTCCACAGTGGTCCCTGCTGATGCCTCCACCATCTATGCAGTCGTAGTTTGAAGGGAAGCCCTTACTCCAAGCCTCCCAAGTAGGGGGCTCCCAGCTCTCTAATAATTCCTCTCCCCTTCTTGACCCCTCACCTGTAAGTGGAAGGCACCATGGGATAGAAATGAGCACTAGGTTGGGAGTCAGAAGACCTGGGTTCCAAGCAATTTCTGCCACTGATCTTGCTCCTTCACTTACTCCCATCTCTCTTATAACTTCCATGTCTCCTTCATCGCTAGTGTCCTCTCTAAACCTGATTAAGCCCTGTCTCCCCATCTTAAGACATCAATAACTCCCAGATAGCTCCCAGATATTCCTCTCTTCCCTTCCCTCCCACAGTCAAGCTTTTCAAACCAAGGGTATACACCTGCCTGTTTCATTTTCTTCTCCTTCACTCTATCCTCACTGTTCATCTGCTGAAATTGTTCATCTGCTCTCCGTAAGCTTGTCAGTGATGTCCTAATGGCCACACCCTGGAGACATTTTTTAGCATTCATCTGGCTTGGCCTTTGAGTACTCCCTTCTTTAAGCTATGTTTTTCTTTGCTGCTGGTGTTTTCTTCCTTCTGTATTCCTCTTCCTTGTTCCCTGTCCCCACAATATTCCCCACCATTCTGTTTGTCCCTTTCTTTCTCCCCTTACCCCCTATCCTGGGAAGCTCTCATCCACAGCCAGTCCTCAGCTTCCACCTCTGCAGATGACACCCAGAACCCTCTCCAGCTCAGATCTCAGATCTGGGATTTCCAAACTGTCCCTCAGAAATCCCACCTGTCTGGCCCCAGGCATATTGTTGTGCCCTGCATGTGAAACCCAACTCATTATCATCTCTCAAACCATTTACTTAATCCTCCTCTGCATGCTCTCTCGATCAACCCTGTTGCCCAAGCCAGAAACTGGGAGTCATGCAAACCTCCTTCCTCTCTCACTCCCACACAATGAGCCATCACATTCTTTCTATCTTAACGTCACTGTCACTGTCGCTGTCAAATCCACACCCTTCTCCAAGCCCAGCGCTACCAGCTGAATGAACTCTCCTCATTTCCTTCCTAGATTACGCATAGCTCCACCTCATCCTCCTACATTTGCCCGCTTTCCTGAAGCCAGAGAGATCCTTCCCAGTCTAACTTGCTCCTTACAGCTCTTATTTCAGAACTGCAGTATTTCTCTCCTTAGCCTTTAGCTCTGGGCCCAAGGGCCTTAGCTTTGGGTACTAGGAGCTACAGCACTTTGTCCACTGACCAGGCCTGTTTCTGTCACTCCACATGGACACAATATGCCTTGGAGAATTCTCACTAGCACCAATGCCTTTGCCCAGTGCAATTCCTTCTTCCTCAATTACCCTTTTCCTTCCTCCCTACTACCTGCCTGGCTAATTCTTATTTATCATCTGGACTCAGTTCAAGTATAGTCATTTCTGGGAAGTTGTTCCTAACCCTCCTTGTCCACCCTTGCATACACTTTGATGCCCTAGGGAGCCCCTTATTTCTCTCATAGAAACAAGCCTTCTGTGAATTGTTCCATTATAACCTGTATTTCAATTTGTAATAAAATTTCATGTACTGTGAGTTCCCTGCCATGAGGAGATTGATCCTTTTAAAATCACTGCTAAGCCTCAGTAAATGAGTGAATGAAAATGAATAACCCTGGAAGCATCATTTCTTCTTCTCTATCAAATAGGGGTGGACTAGTAAACTGCTAGTCTCTGAATCATCTGACATTTAGGTAAATTCAGTTAGTGATCCACCCAGATACTCTCTTCTCTGCCCTGGACATGCTTCCCACAATAGAAATTCTGTCTTTTCCATCTTGTACCCAAGCACCTGTAACAGGGTTGGTTGATGATTCAGTAAGTGCCTATTGAAGGTTTTATGAACGAAAGAGGCCTCTTTCCTAACACTGACCCCAACCTCAGGTTTCAGCCCCACCCATTCCTCTGCCCCAGTAAGATGCCAGCACAGCCCAGTCTAAAAGGTCAATTCTATTTTATTGGTTCTGAGAGACAGTATTAGCCCAGTGGCCTCATCCTTTTTCCCACATTATGCCCTCCCCTCTTCTTGGGGCCCTCTCCCCACTACTACCTACTCACCGTTTTCTATCTAATCCTCCTTCCCCTTCTACTATCTATGCTGCCCTGCCCCTGGCCAGCGAGGATCCCAAGGCCAGGCCCTTAGCTGTGGGGGCGTGTGCTGAGCACCAGGCAGAGGGAGCTGAGCCCAGCACCAGCCTTCTCCAGTTCAGAGCAGGACACAGGTACCAGGGTGATGTCAGAGAGCTTCTGCAGTGCCTGCAGGGAGGACATGGAGTGGGGAGAGGGGAGTAAGACCTTGAGGCCAGAGCCAAGGCCCCCTTCCAGCCAGCTCCAAGTGGCCCCACTTAGGTTTCTAGAGAAGATAACCCCCCCCCCCCCCATCCTTTCTCCCACTAGGAAAGCCTGAGATTCCTTTCTCTGGCTTCTGGTAGTAGTGGAGCTCCTGCCTTCCCTCACCTCCTGGCTGTTGGGCAGGTCCCCACCTCCACGGTGCAGAAGGAAAGGCGGTGCACCGGGCAACCCAGGACGAAGAAAGAGACAGTCAGCGGCTGCATCATCTGGGAGGGTCAGGGAAGCGTATGGGTGATCTGTCAGCACTGCCATTGCCTGGGGGAGAGGAAGCAGGAAGAGTTCAAATCTCAGAGCCTGTCCACAATTGTGTCTGCCTGCCCTACCACCACTAAGGGCCAGGGACAGAGTTACACGTGTGGAATGATAATCATAGCAAGCAATGTGTCAGACACTGTCCTGAGCACTTTAGTTACCTTTGCTAATTTCCACCTCAGTCTTACATGCAGTTCTTTTCACCTGAAACCCTTTTCTCCCCCTCTTCAGTTCCCACTTGTCTTTCTCATTCATCCTTGAAGAGCAAGTTAATCGCCCCTGGTCCGCGGTCTCCCAGCTCCCTGCTCGACTGTTGTAACTTTTTGTTTACTCGCGTGTTCTTTCATACTAGATGGACAGCCCGGTGAGGACAGGGGTTGGGACTAATGTCCTAAGCCTCCCAGCTCCCCGCCTTCGCGGCCGGAGCCACGCCCACTTTCGTGGGCCCCGCCCCTTCTCACCCTGACAGCCTTTTGGGCAGCGTCACTGCTGCCTGCCATCACAGTGCGGGGTCCCCCCATGCCGCAGAGGCCGCGCAGGTGGGAGGAGCCCGAAACCGGCACAGTGGAGACTGCGAAGTCCTGGTGAGAGCAAGGCGAGGCATTCAGGGGGGCGTTGGGGTGAGAGGATACCCTCAAACATAGGCTGTTCTCAGGCTCTCTCTCCTCGGCGGGCCCCCAGACCCCTCCGACCCCCACCTGCGCCCTGCTCCCTCCCAAGGATGGTCACGTTCCTCACCCGGAACGTGTCCGCCACGATCTCAGCTCCTCGGTGATTGGTCCACTTGGAGAGGCCTACGAAAAACTCCCGGCCTGAGCCCGGGAGGTCGCGGAGGTTTGAGGGTGGAGCGAATTGGAAACAAGGCCGAGACAGTCCAGACTCTGCTTCCCTTGCCAAGACCCAGGGGTGCCGGCCCCCCAGCCTCACCGGTGAAGAGAACGTCGGTGCCATCCAGCGTTGCGTTCTCGTCACCCATCTCCACAATTCGGAGCCCCAGGTCCTGGAGGGCTTTGCGGACTCCATCGACCTTATGGCAGAAGAGGGTCCCGGGCTGAGATCCCCATCCCCAATTCTTCCCCAAAGCCCGGATATCCAGCTTCTCCCGCCCTTTGCCCTACCACACCCGCGCCCTGGCGCTCACCTCCGGCCTGCGGGCGGGGCTCCAGGGCCGTGTGATTAGGGCCGTATCCCCTTGGATCACGGCCGTGTCCCCGAGCAGCGGTCCTAGCGGCAGCGACTCCTCAGGAGGCAGTTCTAGCAGCTGCAGTCCCAGTCGCTGCCTCAGTTTACCCCCCAACACCCCGTGCTCCCTTTGAGCTTTGGCCAGATCCAGAGCCGGAAGGCCAGCCCCAGCACCCTCCCCGGACGCCAGGCTTTCCGGGACCCCCCGGATCAGGGCATGGGAGCAGCGACCCAGCCCCTCCCCCGGCGTCCCCATCCCATCCACACAAACGCCCCCTCCGGCCGCGCTGATTTCTTAGTTTTCTCTCTTTTTATTTCACCTGTCTGGGAGAAGAAACAGAAAAGGGGTAGGCAGAGAAAGACATGCAGAGAAGGACGTGGGGGTGGTTAAGAGCGCCCGGGTCTTCCTCCTGCCATCACTGGGCGCCCCTCCCACTCCGCCCCACCCCCTCCAGACCTTCGTGTCCTGTCAACCCCACTCCTCCCCGCACCCTAGTGGGTCTGCTTCTTTAAGAGGAGTCTGAGGGACAGGACTGGGATCCCTAATCTCCAAAACACCTGTTGCCCCTGCTCGGGGGCTTGAGGTCCCCGCCGGGCGCCCCTCTTGGCAGCCGCTAGGATGCGCTCACTCCCCAAAAATGCAGCAGCCCCGCCCCCTTAACCCTCAGCTGCTCGCTGCCGGACAGACCCGAAGTCAGGCCAGGGACCCACAGGGGTTATGGAACAGGAGGAGAAAGCTGGGGAGAGAGTCAGGGCTGGGGGATGGAAATCCTGGATGCCCGAACGACGAAGGAAGAGAGAGACGGGGGAGGCGGGGGAGGGGTGGTTGGAATTAGAGCGTAAGGAGTTAAGCATCCTCTCTCCACCCCGGCCGGTCACGCTGCCCCTAGCGCGACCCAGTATAAACCAGACCGAGTCCCGAAGGACTGGGAGAGGTCTAAAACGAAATCCGAGGGGCGGAAGCGGGGCGTGGTTCTCGGGCGCGGGCGCCACTCCCGGCTCCAGGACCCCGTTCCCCTGTCCATCTTCCCCCAAAGTCCACCCCGCCCAACTCCACACCCAAATGCCGGTCCCCCTCACTCTCCGTCTGGTGCAGGCACAGGCCTGGCACCCTCAAACTCCGGCCCCCGTATAGTCCGGGGGACACCCCCCACCCGACTCACCTCCAGCGGCCACCCCCACTCCTGCTGCTCTGTGATCTCGGCCGGGGCCCCACCCCCCGAGGACAGAGTTGGTGGAAAAAGGAGTCTTAATCTTCAAGCTTCGGGGACTGGGAGCTCTGGCTTTTGGGGGTCCCTGGGTAGGCGAACTCATGTACTAAGATGGGGCGGGGGCGCGACGGGTCTGGCGGCTCCGGGGCATTGTCTAAGCGGGACGGGGCGGGGCTCCCCGAAGCCACGCCCATTCCGTCTTGCTTTGCCGCGCCCATTCCACCCGGACGGCGCCCCCCTTTTCCGAACTCAGCACCGCCCCGCGAGCACTGCCCAGGCCCACCCACATCTGGCCTGCCCTGCTGGCGGGGCTGCAAATGCGGCATGGACCACAGGAAAGAGCTACGATGGGCCGGCACTGAAGATGGCAGCCTCACCACGAATACACCCACCCCCTTTTTAATTCCTGGCTTCTGCCCTGAGCTCAAGATCACTGGCCCACCCCTCATTCCGTGTCACCCACACTTCAAGACCTCTTTGTATAAATACAACACTTGATTTTCATTCTGTATTTTATTACTGAAATACATTGTCCTACCCACCCCACCCCACAATAAAAATCTCACCCAGGTCCCCTATCCTTTTCCCTCATCCCCCCACCTCCCAGCCCCCCTCTGCACAAGTGCTCCAGGATTCCCTGCCAACTGGCCATTTTGGAGTGTGTCCTTTAGGTAGCAATGTGGAAACCACCAAGGGCCTTTGTGGAGAAGATGGAGGGAGGTGAGGGATCCCCAGGAGATGCTTATTTGAGGGCCTTGGCCACTTGCTCATAGGCCAGTTCTATCTCCTCATCATCTGGACAGGTGGAGGCAAATTCTTCCCGAGCATAGGCATTGCTCAAGTACCGGTGCACTCCCCGAAAGGCCTCTGGGATGGTAAATCCCCGGTACTTCTTACACACCACCTGGGGGTGGGGAGAGGAGAGAGACCAACTTGTAAGCTCCTGAGAAGCCATGATGACTGCCATGCTGCTGGTCTTTCCCTTCTCCCAAGGCTACATAATAAAATCCAGCCTTCTTGTCCAGGAATTGAAGAACCTTCACCATCTGGCTTCTCTTCCTACTGATTTTTATCTCCCACATGAATCATCTTCTCCAATCCGCTTTCTCAATTCCTCACTGTCTTATAGTGTCTTCACTCCTCCACTTACTGAGATCCTGGACATTAAAACCAGCCCCTTTCCAGACCACTCCAATCCATAGTGCTACTTTTCTCCTCTTGAGTTTTAAAAAAATTGAGTTATAATTCACATACCATAAAATTCTCCTCCTGAATTTCCAGTGACTTTTGTCTGTATTTTTCATCTGTCAATTAGTCATGTATCATTATTTAACCTTCATATTCTGTCTTCTCAGTTAGATTTCAACACTTTGAAGTCAAGGACTAATCACCATACATCTTTGTGTCTTTGAATGCCTAATACAGATGTTCAGTACACAGTAGTGGTGGTAGACTGACATTGGGCCCATGTTGCACACACTAAATCATAGCTTTGAAGCTGTGACAAAAACATGGGAACCAGCAGTTTTCAACTTTAAAAAGAGGAAGTGGAAACTGAAGCTATAAAGAGAGTAAAAGCTTTGACTTTAGGAAAAGCCTGCTCTGTCTCATCTGGGGATTTGGCGGTGATATAGAGACAAGAAGAGCATTCTTTTTTTTTTTTTCCTTTTTGTCTTTTTTCGTGACCAGTAATGGGATCGCAACACTCGGTGTCGCGCCTGTACTGCGACCGGCAACGGGACTGCAACCCTCGGTGTCGCGCCCGCACCGCGCTCAACCAGTGAGCGGACCGGTCTCTATATGGGATCCGAACCCTCAGCGGGAGCGCTGCCACACTCCCAAGTGCCGCACTCTACCGAGTGTGCCACCGGGCCGGCCCAAGAAGAGCATTCTTAAAAGTAATATTGGGATGTGTTACTCTTAGCCAGTCTGTTTGCACCCATGCCTTGCATCATGAAATGTAATTCTCTCAAGCAGGAGTCTTGCCAGCAATGACTGTGGAAAAGGACTGGGGTGGGGTCTGCCATTGGTAGCAATCAATGGATACCACCCTAAGAAAAGTCACCTTTGGGGCCGGCCTGTGGCTCACTAAGGAGAGTGCGGTGCTGATAACACCAAGGCCACGGGTTCGGATCCCATATAGGGATGGCCGGTTCGCTTACTGGCTGAGCGTGGTGCTGACAGCACCAAGTCAAGGGTTAAGATCCCCTTACCGGTCATCTTTAAAAAAAAAAAAAAAAAAAAAAAAAAGAGCCATCCCAGTGGCCATCCTCTTCTCCTACAATAACCACCTACCTGTACTATGTGGAGTTTTGGCAATAGGTTGCAGTCAGCCAGAGTGAGCTCATTGCCATCCAGAAACTTCCTCTGAGAAATGCCTTCATCTTCAGCACTGGTCTCATCCACTTCTTCTGGGAGAGGAGATGTCAAGTAATTGTCTAAAACCTTCAGTGCTTTCAGGAGCCCCTTCTCCAGATCTGTGAAAGAGAGGGAATTGGTAAGAACTTCAGGAGAAGACCAACACAGTCATCCAAGAAAGCCCAGGTGGGGTGGATATTAATGGTGAGACCAGATAAAAATAATAATAGCTCACACTAATGTAATTAGTTTTTTTTTTTTTTTTTTTTTTAAAAAAAGATGACCGGTAAGGGGATCTTAACCCTTGACTTGGTGTTGTCAGCACCACGCTCAGCCAGTGAGCGAACCGGCCATCCCTATATAGGATCCAAACCCGGGGCCTTGGTGTTATCAGCACCGCACTCTCCCGAGTGAGCCACGGGCCGGCCCATAATTAGTTTTCTATGTGTTATTCTAAGCCCTTTACCTACAATAACTCATCTAATTCTCACATCAACCCGGGAAATAGGTATTGTTATCCTCATTTTGTAGACCTTGAAATGGATTTAACAGCAAAGTTAAGCGAATGGCTCAAAGTCACACAGCTACTTGAAATTGCACTCAGGTAGCCTGGATCTAGAGTCATTGCTCAATAGAACCCTATTCTGCCAGAAAACAGGCCAGAAGCCAATTAATGTCCCCAGTGGGGCAAAAGAAGGTAGGGAACAGATGAGAGAGGCTTAAAAGTCTTGGCCAAGGCCGGCCAGTTAGCTCAGCTGGTTAGAATGCAGTGTTATAACATCAAGATCAAGAGTTCAGATCCCCATATTGACCAGCTGCCAAAAAAATAAAAGTCTCGGCCGATGAGAATTCAGGGATATATAGAGGTAAATCAAAAATGGGGGGCTCGGAGAGGTTTGCCAACTTCTGCTTCATCTCCCTGATGTCTGAACTTTCAGGTGTCCCTAATGCCTCCCAACTCCCGGGTTTTCTCTATTCCACCCAGGACCCACTCCTCAGACCCACAAGACTCACTGTCATTGAGTGCTGGGTTTGAATTCTTGATGTAGGCAGAAAATTTGGCAAATACGTCCAGCCCAGCCGTGTTGGACTCAGGGTTCAGAGCTGCCAGCTTGGGGTACCTAAAAGCCAATGGGAAAAATGAGGTACGATATCTTCCTGGGAGAAGCCTTGGCTAGCTCCCCTGCCCCAGCCCTAACACCATCTCTCTGTTTTCTATTTCTTCAATCTCTCTTTTTCTCAGTATCTCCCAGATCCTCCTCTCATTACCGAATGCCCCTGTACCTGGGAGGGCACAGCACTGCCTCCAGAAATTCCTCAATCTTGTTGGTGTCTGTGTGCACTTCGGTGCCATACAACAGGAATGGGAGCTGCCCTCCTGGGCACAGCTTTTGCACTGTCTCTGTCCGCCTGGAGAAGGGGCCGGGCATCAGGACAGGAAAAGGGGATCAGAGAAAACCAGAAAGGGGAGATGGAGGGATGTCGGAAGAGAAAGGGGCTCCAGGAGGAGGTGAAAAAGGTTCAAGATGAAAGGACTGGGGTGAATGAGTGTGTGTATGCATGCATGTGTATGCAAAGGGAGTTTAGAGGAATAGAAGTGGGCCCACCTCTTGGTATCAACGGTGGTGACGTTGAAGGTGACTCCCTTGAGCCAGAGCACCATGAACAGTCTCTGGGAGAAGGGGCAGTTCCCAATCTTGGCCCCATCACTGCCAGCCTGAAAAGCAACCCCCCCGACCAAGGTTAGGCCTTGTGCACCCTGCCCATCCCCTGGCCATTCTCTTCATCCCCTACTCCCAGACCACCTGTTCTCTGCCTAGTCATGACACATACACTATTCCCCCATTAAAAGCTCTCCCAGGAACTGGGTTCTTCACCCTTGGGCCTGGATCAAATCTAAGGCAGATCAATGGAAAACTTTTCTGCAAAGGCAGGCTTCTGGTTCCCCAGAGACTGAGGGCAAGTGGGAGGTAGGCAGAGGGAAGGGGTGTTGGAGAACTTGGGGGATCTGAAACCTAGAGAGGGAAAGGTGTGCGACTTTGGTGAGGCCACAGTTATAGGCTAGAGGCCTGGATTCCTGAACAGAGTAGAGCCTGAGGACAGGAGAGGTAGGGCAGGGTGTGGAAGCCAAGAGTTCTGGTTCACTACACCTCCACCACCCAAGCTGTTTCTGGAAGCTGGCTGGGCAGTCAAGGGGTCCTGAGCCTCATTCTAGAGATGTAGAGGACTTGCAGAGAGGGGCTGCCCTCTAACTGGCAAGTGGTGATCTAATTCCACCAAAGGACACCTCCCCCTAAGCTGAGGGTGATTCATCTCTCTGTGTCTCCGGCCTCAGCAGCTTCCTTCCTGACAAGGAAGTGGGGGCAGGGACTTGTGAGGCTATGGCTGAGCCGCTAAGGCCACCCCAACCCCCTCACTGCCGGGGTCTCCCAGCACAAGTCCTCTGACTCCAGATAATCTTCCTTACACAGGACACAGGGCCAGAATCTGCGGCACAGCCTCACCCCAGAGTAAAAATAGCCCCGGAGGCGAACGTGAGGGTGAGGTGGGGACCACACCTAAGGGGGTGGACCCAGGCTTGCGTTGACCTCACTGGGCCTAGGGAGAGGGAATGGCTGTCCGAGAAACCCGAGCAGAAAGGAAAGGGAGAAACAGGCAGGAACAAAGAAAAACAGGATGAACAGAAGGGGAAAGTGGAGAGAAAGGAGGCAGGAAAGTAGAAGGTGGAGAGAATGTGCAAACAGGAAAACACAGACTGAGCAGGGAGAAGAGGACACCAAAGAAGGGAGGGAGGACACAGAGAAGAGGTCCCAAGACTGGGAAAGAATGCAGGGCCCGTGGGGAGGAATCGGAGAGGGAACGGGGCACACATAGTGAAGGCTGCTGCCTGTGGTTTTGATACCCAAATGCCATGGGCCACCTCTCCACAACCACACCCAGAGAGAGGAGAGTTGGGGCAAGTCTTTTCTCCTGCCTCTACAACCCCAGATCCTAAATGCCCTAACCCAGCTCTCCTCCTCCTTCTGATGTTTCTTCCATCAATTCTCACTGTAGCTACTGCTAAACTCTCATCTCCTTGACGCCTCCCTTTCTCTTGCTTCCCCGAGTCCTGGGGATATTCCTTATCACACCCCATCACCTCTCCAGCCCTGCGTCTTGAACTCTGCTCCCACTCTTCTCTCTCCTTCCACCCACCAATTCTTCCCACTTTACTTCTTCCCACTCCCAGGCCTCTCTCAACACACCCTCTTCCTTGAAATCACCCCCCCACACACCCCCTTCTCCTCCACTACACCCCTCACCCTTCAATCTTCTCCTAGGGCCACATGTCCTATCTGCTGTTTCCCTCTGTCCCTCCCCAAATCTTCTGGGCTCCCATTGCCCCTTTCTCACCCAGACCTTCCACCAGCTCATTCCCCGCCCTAGTCTCATTCCTGGGAACTCTCCTTTTTCTCTCCCTTCCCTTCCTTTAAGCTGCTGGAAATGTGTACTATTTTACAAACTTCGGGGTTGATCATAGAACTCTCATAACCAGCTTAAAAGTTAATTGTCTTCCCCTCCCAAAACTCTCCTGTCCCCAAAAGATTGCACGTGGGCTTGGAGGTGGGGGTCAAGGAGGGAGGGGATTGGGGAGTTAAGGCCGTAGCTGGGGAAAAATGAGAGTTGGCTTCCAGGAATTCAGGTGGCCAAAGAGAGAGAAGGTGTTCTTACCTTCACGAACAATTCGACCTGTGGTTGTTCTTCAGCCATGGTTGTCTCAGGGACCAGGAAGCCGCCGTCACTGGGGGAACTGGGAGGGGCTGGGGCCAGGGAAGGCGGGTCTCACAGTCAGGGATTCTCTCCCTCAGACCTAGGGCTGTCCCTTCAGCGCAACACAAGCCCAGTCAGACTCACTCACTCCAGACACGGCCTCCCCACTAGCCCAGCGCACTCCACACCTAGCTCCTCCAGTTTAGTCCCCTCCTGGGCTGGATCGCAGAGCAGCTGACTCACCAACCGGCCCCACCCTGAACCTGGGGAGGGGACAAGAGGGGGGCGGGACTCGACGATCTAGGGAGTGGGTCTGGAGGGGAGGTCCTTATGTCTCCCACAGGATCCGGATGGGGGATGTTAAGGGGAAAGAGCCCTCAAACCTCCTTGTTTCTCTGAACTCTTCTGAACACAGGACTTTTTTTCTGCCTTAGTTTTCCAGTTCATTAATCAGAGGACAACCCCATTCCACCCTCACACAAGAAACTTGACACTAGCAGCTTGGGCACACCCATGAAGATCAAGAGAAGGGAGGATCTTAAAATGGAAAGGTGGTCATTTATTTCTTCTTCTGTGTTCCTTCTGGACTCCAGTCCAAATTCTGCGTTGGTGGGACTGTGGTCCAGGGGAAGAACTTGGAAGTGAAAACTAGTACTGGGGGTAGGGAGTCAGGGGAAGAACTTGGAAGTGAAAACTAGTACTGGGGGTAGGGAGTGGTAAAAGGTAGTGCAGGCGATGGGAAAGGAGAGGACAAGGTTGTGTGCTAAGGAAATAAGAAGCTCAGTCAAGGGCCTTCATTGCTGGGGAGATCCGCTGTAGGTAGCCTGGTCAGCTTTAATGCCTCCACTTCTGCTCCCCATCAGGGGCCGCTTCCAGTGCCCCTTGCCCTTTTCTTACAGGTTGCCTTGGAGATGGGATGGAGGAGTAAGGTTATTGTGGCGCTAGGATAGAGCTGCACTAATCCTGCAGTGTGGGGTTATGGGGTAGCTGGTCCTTATTGGGGGGATTAAGCAAAGATCAGAGAATAGAGTGAGTCTGGGGGACATGTAAAGAAAGTATAGAGGACAGGAAGAGTAGCTCTCTCTCTCCCCAATAATCTTGACTTTGGAAGTTCTATCAAACTCTTTATGACCTGCTGAAAAATAGCCCCAGAATATGTTACTCAAATAGGACATATTCCTTCCCAAGGAGGATCTAAGGTATACAAAAAAAGGGAGGGGCAGACATATTCCAACCTCCACATCCTGAATTGGTCTCCTGTCCAACCATCCTTTCTCTTTCTTCCTCACCACCCCCTGTCCAACAAAAGACCTACAGTTCCAGAGAAACATGGTGGAGTACAAGGACACAGAAGAAAAATCAGGATTGAAACTTAAAAAAAGGGAGAGACTTGGAGGAGTGGGGTGGAGTGATGTGATGTGCTGCTGGAAACCAGCAGTTAGTGGTTTCCTCCTGTGCTTCCTCTTCTGTGGGTTTTCTCCTCCCTGGGGGAAGGCCTACCTCTCTCCTCCTCAGAACAAGGGAGTATATTTGGTGTTGTTCCCTTGAATTGCAACATTCTATAAGGACGTAGAATGAATGATTCCATGAGAGAGAGAGAGAGAGAGAATCCCCTCCATGGTGACCCTCAAAATCTGCACACAGGACCCTTTCTTACTGAGGGGAGGGAATCAAAGTAGCTCTGTTTCCAAGGGTCCTCTCCTGTTCCTGGTCAGTAAGCATCAGAGCATCTGTCCCCCAAAGATCTTCCCTCTGGGAGAAGCCTCAGGTAAATGGGGCCAGCTCTAGGCTCAAACAGGTTTGGCAGCCTCTCCCCTGCCTCTCTTTTCTTTCCTACAGCTCTATAGCTGCAGCTGCCATGATCATCAATATTGACTTTGGCTGGCTGGCATGGCTACCCACAAGATAGTTTGCTTAATTTCCTAGGTGACAGTCAAGGCTGCCCTCTCCTGGAATCACCCAGCAGTACCTCATGGATTTGAAGCCAGGGGCTGCACACTGGAAATTCTGCATCAAAGTTTCCTTCCTGTCTCATTTTCTTGCCCTTGTTTTTCTCCTATCTCAATATCTCCCCCATTCCTCCCCCCACCTCCTCCAGCTTTTCTTTCTACTCCCTCCCCTTTCTGGGCTTGGTAAACCAGTCCCTAATCTCTTCACACCCCAGATTGGAAGGTGTGTCCCTCCCTGACACTCCCCAGAGCTGTCACTGGCCTCCCCCAGGTTTCTATAGCTCCATCTTTCAACAGTTTGCCAAGGGTAACCATTAACCCAGCCCTTAACTCTGTTCTCCTACCTTTCTCCCTGGAGGGGATTTTCCAATCACTGGTCAGCACAGTTGGGTCATCTCAACCCCCACCATCTTTCCTAACCCCTTCATCGAAGGCTACTGAGAACAAAGCTGGTGAGGAAGATGTATTTAAGGGACTTTTTTAAAAGTTTTTTTTTTTTTTTAAAGATGACCGGTAAGGGGATCTCAACCCTTGGCTTGGTGTTGTCAGCACCACACTCAGCTAGTGAGCAAACCGGCCATCCCTATATAGGATCCGAACCCGTGGCCTTGGTGTTATCAGCACCGCACTCTACCGAGTGAGCCACGGGCCGGCTCTTTAAAAAGTTTATATTTGTGTATTTCTGTCTCCCTCACAATCTCCTCCCTTTCCCCTCTCCCCCCAAACACAAGCACACTAAAAAATAAGCTTCATGGCTTAGGGACTTCATTATGTTCACCAGTTTGCATCCGTCAACTGGCCCAGAATAGGCGCTAAATAAATAATCTGTCCTTAGGGGTGTGTATTTGTGAGCAGGGGTATGGACATGTCCCAATAGCGATGTAAGTGTTCTTATTAGGTATACTATCATTCCGAATTTGGTGTAGTTCCAATGCTTCTAGCTCCTCTTGGGGGGCCGAAATAATAAACTAGGCCCTGTAGCGCCCTTGTAGGGGAGTTCATACCCTGCACCCAGGAAGCAGGCAAAGTAGGGCTGCAATAGGAGTCCTCCTTCTTATTTCCACTTATTTATTTAAAACACTCACGTAGCTTTTACTTCGTTTACCAGGCACTGTTCTAAACTCTTTATAAATATTAACTCAAGAGGCTACAAATATTAACTTAGAGTTGTTGTTGTTGGCACATGTTGAATTAATGTTGTTTATCTCCACTCCGCAGAAAGAAAAAAAAAAGTCCCTCTGGTCCTTTAAAGTCGGCCTCCTCCGCATACCCGCCTTGCTTCCGACCTTACAGCGAGCTCTACCCTGGGCCAATCGAAACCCAGAAACTCTGAGGGCCACGGGCCCGGCTGCTGAGCAACGGCAGAGGGCGGGAAGTTTGAACGTTCAGGCACCGCCCCGAATGCATGCCAGGCCAATCAGCGCCCAGATTCTTCAGCGATTGAGGCCCCTCCCTCCTCCTTTTCGCTCTATTGGGTCTCTAGGCAGGATCTTGGTCTCTCTGACCAATCGAGGCTAAGAGGGCGGGGCGTGTGCGCGCGCACCTCGCCCACACGCCGGCACAATCCGCTCTTAGACTCTTGGCGGTTGGTCAGTAGGGGGGGTGTCTAGCGCGTCGCGCCCGAGGTGACGGAAAAAGCGGGAACACGCCGAGAGTTCGCCGCCACTGGGGGAGGGGGGAGTCTAGAGCGTGAGGCTGTGATCAAAGGGCGTGTTTGGCAGAGGCAGAAAGATTAGAAGTGCACAACTCGCCTCACAGGGCCCTCAGACCTTCTTCCAAAGTACAACCTCCGCGTGACAAATGAGGGTGGGGCGTGTGGCGTTTCCCACAGTCTGTACTTTAGTTAAATACCTGAGAAGTCGCCCACTCAGAATGCCCCCATACCTGTCGCTGCAGCTCTCCAAGCCCCTCGCAGCCCTGTGGCTCAGCCCTGTCACATAATTTCTCAGCGGGTTGCATTTCTGCGCGGCACCCTACCCCAACCTCTTAGTGGGTGAAATGTCGCTTCTGAACCGCTTTCACTCTCTGCATCCACAGAGCCTCCAAGCCCATGGCCTTCTTAGGAGCGACCCCAGGCAGGACGCCGCAGGGACCGGAACCTGGGGCGGCCCCGGCCAGCTTCCCCAGCCTGGCCCCGGTGTCTGGTCCCGGGGAGGCCAAGGTCGACGACGACGAGGAGGAGCCGGCAGAGGTCTCTGAGGGACGCAGGAGCTGGCATAGGAGAGCATGGCGTTGATAGGAATGTCAGAATGTTGGAATAAAAAGGGGTTGGGAAGAGTTGGGCAAGTCACCACCGATGAGCCTCTGTTTCACATTTACTAAATGGGGTGATGATGCCCGTCTCAGAGGTTTGATAAAATTACTAACATTAAATAAGGCGTAAGGGGACTGGCTGGTTAGCTTACCTGGTTAGATTATGGTGCTGATAACACCAAGGTCAAGGTTCAGATACCTGTACTAGCCAGCCTCCAGAAAAAAAAAAAAGGAATGGCAGGGCTGGCCGGTTGGCTCACCAGGTTGGAGAGTGGTGCTGATAACACCAAGGTCAAGGGTTCAGAT